TTTTTGTTTATGAATAATATGGGAACTGATATTTTTATTTCTATAAATGTGGTGTTGTCAAACATAGTAAAATAACGTACATAACAAGAATGACAGTGGCTGTTTTTTCATTAGCCTCAGGCCAGATGATAAAACCGGAATATAAATGTGTTTATTTGAGACTTTTCATTTCAATTATTCAATTTGAGCTGTGTCTTAGCCGTTGGAGTCTAGGCCAGTTGGCGTAGCAAGGCATGGGCTGATGTTTTCTGGTGGCGGCGAAGCCGCCACCCCAACGACTTATTGTAGGGTGGCGGCTTCGCCGCCACCTTACGATAAGTCGTTGCTTCGTTTTCTTGTTGCATATTTATGGACTGGTATGCGCAATCGCAAGAAATTATGTAAAAAAGTTTACATTTTCAATTTAATTTGAGCTGTGTCCAGGCCGTCGGAGTCTATGCCGGTCGGCGTAGCCAGGTGTGGGTTGATGTTCTTTGATGGCGGCGAAGCCGCCACTCTACGATAAGTCGTTGCTTCGTTTTCTTGTTGCATATTTATGGACTGGTATGCGCAATCACAATTTTCCATTAACTACTAATTTTATCACAATCCGGCAACGTTGCAATTATATTTTCTAAATTTGACAGAAACCATCGAGTTTCCATGTTTACAGTCGTCAAAATGCTGTTTTTATAGAAATTAAATATTTTTTTTGGCTTAAATAATGCATTTACCGCAATTTTTTTTTAAATGTACTATATAAAATACGCTCTTTCTGATAAAAAATAAATTTCTTTAAAATTCCACTGGACCTAAAGTCGTCCGTACCCGAACATTATATTATCTGTCTTGCTGTACTTTTATTTATGGAAAGCCTGAATTGAGATATTTATTATTTGCAATAAATATCAGAAGAAGTATACATTTTTAAATAATTTGACATTTAAGAGCCATTCATATATCACAGTTGACATCTTGATACTTGACAGGCACAGACAGAGAAATTTGATGAAGGTGTTTTTGTGGCTAGGGGCGAAATAGTAGTACGCTTAATAGCACCACCATAAAAAGTCATTTTTAAGAAACTGCTTATATATTTTTCTTAAATTGGCAGGCTTGGCGACTAATTTCGAATGAAAATAGCCTTCAAAATGGCTATATGGTTGCAAGTATGAAGGTCGCAACCCGCCTTAGAAATTTCACCTTTACTATCAACAGCTGTTGTTTGACAGGTCGTTAGAGAATGTTTGTAATTTATGGAATGTGAAGAATGTTAGGAATTTAGACGTCAGAAATAATTGAAATTCCTAAAATTGTTCACATAAGGAATGCATAGGCGGATTTTAAGAAAATTGTTATTAAAGTAGTTAGGATGAACCGAAATTTCTAAAAATCAATTGGGTTCTAAGTTAGAAGTAATTATTCAAGAAAATCAAAACCGCAAGTCAATCAGAACTTTCATTCTAGAGTTATCGTGCCGGCATACATACATACAGATGACTAGACGAACAATTTTTTTTTGGATTTTCGGATTCAGAATAATCAGAAACATGAAAAAAAAGTTTAAAAAAATGGGGGTAGAAAATTTTTTCGTCTGCACGAATGCAATACTGAGGCCCCATAGGAAGGGCCTCAGTAATTATTCAAAATAATTCAGGGTACACAGCTCGAACTTCCTGCATACTTACAAATCGTCTCAGTATTTAAACTGTTAATCTGGCAATCTTTGTAACTATGCAACAAGTTATCGATGTATTATTTAAAGTATTACTACTGAAAATAGATAATATGATCAATTTGATCAAAGAAAATAATTTGGTGTATATTTTATCTTTTAAAAACTATGTGTAGTTATTCAAATAGAACAACCACTTTTTAATCGTAGGTTCTCTATGTCCATTGTATTTTTAGTGGCTTCACATGTAGTATTAATCCCAAATGTAAAATGTCACCGTGATGGAAATTTTAGGGATAAATTATATAGTTGGGTGATTCTCGCCTAACTGTGATTTTTACAACTTACATTTTTCTAAAATTAAAAATGTTTCAAAACGTATGTTTTACGCGTTTTTGTTTTCTATTTATGCATAGAAATAAGCCTGTAAAGTGGTTCTACTACAGCTACGACACAACGAAAACTGTGACAAAATTTAAAAATTTTAATGCCACGGTACTGACATTATTTCCACAATACTGACATATAATAGTATATTATGCAACGATCATGTAATAACCATTACATGAGAGTTGCATACGCTATTTTTTCTACACCCGATAAATAATCAAGAACTATAAATATTATATTCATATTGGTATTGAACACAATAACAATAATTACTTGTGTATTTCTATAAAAAATTCTACAAAATTGTAATTAATGGTATTACTTCGGGTATTGGTATTTCCCTAGATTTTTGCGGCAAAATATTTTGTACTGTATTTTCTGCTTTCTCCGATATGTGTGGAGGAGTCTTCTATATCGCTGATATCAGACATTTTAATATTATAATTAACGAAGTTTAGTTATCTACCAAAATTTAATACGTTTTGACAACTAAAACAAATACATAGGAACCTAGGACAAACGTCAAACAGCATGCTTGATTGAAAAATTGTAGGTTTCTATTGATTAAAAATCTGTATCGTAATGAAAAATCTGTATCGTAATGAAAAATCTGTATCGTAATGAAAAATCTGTATCGTAATGAAAAATCTGTATCATAATGGGTATCATTATGAAACGGATTATGGGCATATAAGTGCATTATTATAATACGGGTGTAGAAAAATGATTATTTTTTTTTACCAATCCAAAGATTGGTATAAAATTGCAATAAAATTCAATGCAGTATGCATTAGATTGTAGTTATAAGAGGTAAATTTTATATTAAAAAATGAATTTTGATAGAAATTTATATATTTAATTTTAAAAATGATTATCGGACATGCCACGGTACTGACATTTCGAGTATATTTATATGCAGCTTAAAAAAAAATACGAAGGTTTATGATCTAATTAATAATGTCGGTTGTAAAATACCTCTAAATTTATAATATTATTAACTTTTTGATGAGGAAAACTTATGCTAAACGATAAATAAAACACTGGACATAAAAAATCACAGTTAGGCGAGAATCACCCAGTATAAACATAAAACTAAAAGCTTGCGATTTACCAAACAAAATTTTATTTGTTGGATCTGTATTCTCGGTTAACATTTTGATCTTTTGACTTCATAATTGATAAACAAGAATAACAGTTGCAAAATCAATAGCTCTACTAAGCTGTACTGATGCTTTATATCAGTGCCAGGCCTAAATCTATCGACATAATTATTATTAAATAATTCTACTTATATTAAAACAACTACGGTACGTAACGCTACTGTTCAAGTACGATTTACATTTGGCCAAATTTCTTTTTGAGTAAAACCGAAAGCATTACTCTATTCACTATGCACCGAGTTTTTAGAGCAGTTTACAGATCTACAGGTCAAGTCTACAGGAGATTTTATATGCTGTACTTTAATAACTGCTAAAAATAGTTGATTTAGCTCTAGTAAATCAATCTACTCTGTATGCAACAGATTAAACTACATTTTAAGTAACGTTTGTGGCTGTTTTGAATTCAATTCTTTTTGTTCTTGTTATTAGCTTTAAAATATTATTTGTAGAATGTGTACAACCATACCGGTTCTTCATTGACCTTTATGTCTTGCTGCATTTGATCATTTTTTAATCAAAAATTGTAATTGATTTTGTTTTTAAATTCTAAAAGATATCTATTATGAGACAAATATGTCGTCTAATTTTTGATAAATTATTTAAACTCCATCCCAAACAATTCAGGGGCGTGCGGTCCATGGAAGCGGGGGAAGCACCGCTTCCCTACACTTTGAGATTTAAAAATAGATATTTTTCAGTTTACAATGAAATTAATATTAAATTATGTAATATATTTTATCTGAAACATTACGTAAACTTCGTAAATGTACTAACAATTCGCTTCGTGTTATTGACCCTGGTTTGCCGCGACAATAGTCAGTTTGGGAACGTGAAATACGGTCGAGAGGCAGCGATGTTTACGTCGCCTTTCCCATATTGCAATTCGCAACGCGAATCGACGTGTGAGGAAAATGTATTTTTCGGTTTGTTTTTCGTAGTTGTTTTTCTTTTTGTAAAATGGACGAACTATGCACTGTGCCTGTGAACAATAATAATGTGGTAAATTGTGTCTGTATTGTGTGCTCTTTGTTAAAAAAAGGATTTTCAAGTAGAAATTTTGAAGAGAAAACGGACGTTATTAATCTAGTAGACTTAAGGATCCTATCAATTTAGAGACGAAAGTAGAAAAGTCAGC